GCATCATTAGTGTTGATTCTTTACTAATGAGAACAAAGTTTTAGTTAGAAGAATGCGAATGGAACACCTAAGAACAATTGATTTAATGTAAGCCAAGAGATCAGGGACAAATATTAGTCCAAGTATTCTAGAAGGGCCTCTAGAATAAGTGTGAGTGTACTCTCTAGAGGCGACAACAACTCTTTTGATGCCACGTGTCCTTGATTAAGAAAGGATGTTAGATCCCTTTCTTCCTTAATCCAAACAGTAGGCTGGCAATTTCTGAATTGACGAATATGCCACTATACTACAGGGTTAGGCAATGCAAATGAAAGTCAAAACTGAGGGGTATTTTCGTAAAACTTGATGCCCGTGCTTTACGGGGATGATGGCCAATGTATTGGTGGAACTTTTTTTATTAAAAAGGTTTTTTGTGAAGCGTGCGGTGAAACGTATTTGACCCAAAGACTTCAACTTGAGGAGATGCTTAATTACTAGCTTTTAACGTTTTCAATTTAACTTTTGACCGTCATTATAGTAGTCTAAATGAGCATAGTACCCGGTATTTTCAGTTGCATTAATTCTAGAAAGTACTGAACACATGAAATTTTCCCATTGGGTTTCATCCTCATGTATTGGTAAAATTATGATGGTTGCATAGAGCGTAGACATGGTATTTGTGAACTTAGCCTATGTTTGACAACTTCAAAATAGAAATGGGCTTGCCAAGTCAAAATTAGTTAATATAAAGATTGGTCCATAAAAGGACTAGTTTAGATGTCAGATTTTGAAGTAGAAAGAGTTAGTTCAACTCGAGCGTAATTTTGGCTAATCTAAAAAATAAAGTTTTAGATCAAGATTAATTTTGTGGAGCTGTCAAATTTGCCGTTATATGTGTCTTAATAAAAACCCAGGTACTTTGGTAAGTTGCATTTCGTACAAGGAAATAGCCATGTTTGTTATATCCACTCCCAAACAGTAATCTTGGGAGTTGGATTGCCGAAAATGCTCTTTTGATGTTGAGGGTGTTTCTGGAATGGACTTGGCTTGTTTTGGTTTGGGAGAAGGGCAATTTAGTCCTCACACACCCCCAAAGTTATTGTTTGGGAGTGTGAATAGTTGGACCCGGAAATAGCGCGCCTCTTTTTCACAAGGCAGACGACCCCCACAATTGCCGAGCCGAGAAAAGGCATCCGGTGTAAAAACTTTTGCGTACATAACCCCTCTCGCTAATTCAAAACGATTTCCTCTCAAAATTAACAAATCCCTCCTCCGCAAACTTTGAATTAATGCGGCAAAGCACGCACGCCGCGTATAATTTCTGCTTTTTTTGCGTCAACTTTCTTTGCTCCTACACAACAGCTTATTAATTAAGAACTGATCAAAATGACTATATATATATATATATATATTCACATTAGCTTTATTTAGTACCAAAAGAGGATATGTTTCTTTAATGGGGCTTCTTGTTAATTACACCACCACTAGATAGCGAGGGCTTATGATAGTCTCATTATATTTTAATGACTTCGATTGAACATCAAATGGAAAGATGTGGGCTCCCCAAGAAACCCTATTCCCCATGTCATTTGCAAATCTCGGTCAGAGATACAGCTAGCACATATGAGATTTTAACTGTGAAGTTATTTGAGAGCGACAACCACATTGCTAGTATTTTGTTTTCAGATGCGCCGAGATTATCTCAGGCTCCACGTGTCAATATCTTGTGTACGTCCAATATGTCCCGAGTCCAAGGGGGTAGATATGTAGGAGGGAATAATATCACAGAGGTGGCAAGACGGGAGATGTTCTCCTCTCCTCGGTAGGTAGTCTTTACAGTTGGGGGGGGTATGCGTATCGTTGAACGCCACGTCGATTCAACGACGATGATGAGGAGGACTTCCAAGTGGCGTTGCGGTGTTAGTGGAGGTGGAAAGCTAGATGGGGATGTATGAGACAGAATTCAAATTATTCATCACAAAAGGTGCCCAAAAGAAAATTAAGGAGGGGGGTGGGGGATGAGGGTCGGGAACTTGGGAGGAGGATGTCTAGGTGCAGAGGGATCTATCTGTCACTACTTTGGAGGAAATTAAGTTTTCTCCAGTTGGGACTTTTCCGTGTAATCTTTTTTTTTTATCGTGCTTGTAAACAATTTTTTTTTTAGTGCATGGGGGTACATGTAAAACTCTCTTGTTGTTAGCATATATATTCATGTTTGTGGTGTGAATATATTGGCTTCAGATCTCATGACACTAGTTCGTAATTAATAGATGAGCGTGACGTGTACTATATACGCGAGGGTATAATCATGGCTCCTTTGATCTCCATAGTTCGGTCGATTCTTCCTCCTTCGGTGTCTTCTTCGGGTACGGTCTGCTCTTGTAGATTGGGGGAGATAGCTAGCAAGATGGACTTAATTGAACAGTTGAGAGTCTTGAGACCGACCCACGGTGAAAGAGGGGTATATACTTTTCGAGTTGCTTGGCATAAGGTGATGTTTAGGGTGGCTTATCTCTATTGGTTATCAAATCAAAGGAGATAAAAAAGGATATGGGACCCTGCAATTATTTGGATGACATCACCTTTGGAGCACCAGCTTGGGCTTGATGACGATTGGCACTGAATGACTTCTCAGCCAATTATGATATAGGGAATGACACCTATCACCTAATAATGTTCTCTTTAGTATACCAACTTTTCATCGCCCCCCCCACCAAATTAGAATACTACATGTATTTTGGAAATTCAGGGGGGTAAACCGGTGGATTCAAGAAATTTGAAGGGTGATAAGGAGAGGGATTGATGCAACTTTCTCTGCGTGGTTCAGAAGTTTTTAGATGTAAAAATTCCGAGGGCTAGAAGATTTAGTTCTGAAAGCAACGATTTCACTCACCCTAACAATAAAGCAAACACATGTTGCACAAGATACCACCATAATTGGACACAAATATGAACAGGGCAATGCGTATCTATTTTCCATTAACAGATAATAGGACGCTGCCGATACAAATGAAAACACATGCAGATGAAGAAAGCAATTTGTCCCCGATCTTCACGAAATGCAACGCTCCTGGAGGCAATCTTCTCTCATGTACAGAGACGATTGTAATTTGTAGGAGTCGCAAAACAACATCCCATTTCTATTATGATCTCACTTCATACTCCCCTGATCGAGTGATGGCTCGGAAACCCTTATAAGGGCGAGTAGCCAAGTTCCCGAGGCCCAGCTTATCTATCTGCAAGCCAGAGAGAGCAATGCCCATGATCTTGAACTCTGCTCGGAACACAGGAAAGACATGCAATCGCTCTACCCCTGTCTCAAGTATCAGATTCCCTGTGAGAGATGGCGATTTATCCTTTGGCATCTTTCCAATGTCCCAACTGCATATCTGAAGATGAAAAAGAAAACCCGGTAAATTATGTGAAAAAATAATTTGTTTCTGCACGAGCAAAGCTCACTCGTGCGGCAGTGGCTAGGGTTTTCATAAAAAAGGTAAATTTCACAAAACCTCCTCAGTACTTGAGGGTTTTCCAAGAAAAACCCCCAATACTTGGTTTTTCTCACTAAACGCTTTTGCCACGTAACTCCCAATGTGACGATAATGCCCCTTAGGGCATCTCCAACCCAGCACCAAAATGGTGCAAACGGTGCATTTTGTTGCACTGTTCATTCTCCAACCCAACCCCATTTTCTGCTCCATTTTGGTGCAGTTGAACAGTGCTGCACCAAATATGGCGTTGCACTGTTCATCCGCCTCATTACTGTTCATTATTAAAAAAAATTAAATATTTATTTTTACCTCTTAATTAATATAAAAATAGATAAAAGGAAATAAACTGAGAATATTCTTTTTTGGTGTAAAAAATGGTGCAATGGGTTGGAGATGTATTATTGTTTGATGTGACTTTTGCACCATTTTGATGCAAAATTTGCATCATTTTGGTGCAATGGGTTGGAGATGGTCTTAGGCCAAAAAGGTTCTTCTTCATTCTTTTTAATATTGTTTTTGCAACAAAAACCGTCATATCAGGCAATTTGCAAATAAACCCCTCCTCTCTTCCTCATCACCCTCCCCAAACGCTACCCCTGATTCAACTTTTTTGGGAAACGAGGATTTTTTTTGGCCTGAGGGGCATCTTCATCACTTTGGGGGTAATGTGGGAAAAGTTTTTGGTGTTTTAGTGTGAAAAACAAAGAATTGGAGGTTTCATGGTACATGCCCCAAAGTGTCGGGGGATTTTGTAAAATTTACCCAGAAAAATTCTGCAGCAGAATAACTACCTAGCAACATTCTATGGAATGGAAAATAACAGTAAATTTCAGAACTAAAACATCCTTAAGGAAAAATATGCAAACCTTATCTGCAAGGACATTGACTGTTCCATAGTTTGCAGTTAAATCGGACGACGAAACACATGAAGGAAGATGAAATTCTACTGTTATATTATCAATCGGCTTTCCAGGATCATTCCGCACACCAACCAATACATTAACGTGACAAGTTCCGGCATCAGAAGTTAGCTGGGGCTTTATGTATAGTGGTGTATTCTTCAGTTTTTTCACCCTGAGAAATAACATGGATCGATAATGTATAAATTGACAAGTGAGAGATCACTACTTATGAAAGAGGACTGCTGTGTAAAAATGTTTAAATCCTATTTTGCCTTCTCAATTTTCATGGTATAAAAGCATACCTCTTATCTACAATTAATCATTCATTAATTACCTGTAATCTTTTATTAATTATGCTTACTCAATTATTCCTTCAATAACTAATAGTTATACTATTTTTTATGGAATAGTTATACTATTATTAATAGAGAAATATGGGTATGCTTGGTACCAAGCACAAAAAGTTATGCTTGGTAGTGATGTGTCACATCTCCCCCCACTCATTCAAATATGGGACCACATTCACATGGGTAATGAGTGGATGAAGATGTGACACATCACTACCAAGCACCAAATTTGTGCTTGGTACCAAGCATACCCATATTTCTCTTATTAATATTACATATTATAAATAAAATATTCTGATATGAAACTATTAAATAAATATACCATTAGACAATTATACATAGTTTATTAAACAAATATACTCTTAAACAATTTGATATTTTTTTATAAATTATAAAAAATAGTAAAATAATATTATAAATAAAATTGAAGTTACTATAATAATTATTAAAATATAACATTATATTAAATACTTATTTTATATGGTATGATTATCTGAATAAATAATGATTAGATTTTAATAAGTTATAATAGATACTCATACAATTCTGTATGCAATACAATTTTTTTGTATGTTTCATTTATTAAAAGAAAATTTTATTTGCTCTTTTAAGAATTTATATTGTTATAAAGTCATTCTATAATTTTTCTGTCAATAACAAAATTTAAAACATAAAACAAGTAATTCCATGTGCGAAGCACGTGTACTATACTAGTAGGTATAGGTATAAATAAAAGAAACAATAATTTCTCTGACACAGAAAGACAAACCTGTAGCTCATAAGCTTAAACTGACCATCTGGAGGTACAAATGACAGTATTTGATCTGATTCCCATGGTCGAAACCGAACACAAGGATGAAACCTCACGTCATTCAGGAGATTAGGGTTTGAAAATGACAGGGTTAAATCAGGAAGACCTGGGAGGTTGGAATTTACTTGGATTTCACCATAAATTTCACATTTCACCAGAACCCCTTCTCTGAAGTATGACAAAGACATTGCACTGCTCAGTTCTCAATAACCATTAAAAGTGTACTAAAAAGAAGAGAGAAGATAATGGCTACATCATACAAAACAATCGTGAACATTCCCAATATTACCACTACACTACCTTTTCAAAATTAAAATAAACCACATGAGGTTTCTAATTTTTAAAAATCATCCAAACTACGTCAATAACAGACATTAAAGTTATCTTCACCTTCTTCAGAAAACTCCAGAGGTAATTGATGTAAAAACATGATAATATTAGGAGCAATTTCATAAAAATCATCACATGCAAGTCACAAGTCACACGGTACATTCACATAATGTAGCATAGTTATGTGAAGCAAAATGCAACAAAAGGCACTGAAACTTGCATCAATATAAAAAATTGATTAGATTTTCCAATCAGAACCAGCAATCTAGAAGGAAATAACCAAGAAGATGATAAAGAATGAATGTACAGGTAAAAATAACTAGAATTACTTAGTTGGTATAACATGTAAAAATCTTGGAACTATTTAAAAGAAATTGTTGTAAATAAGTTAAACATGAGACACAAAATTTTAGGAAACACTAAAAAAAGTAGAAAATACTCAAGCGGCATGAAACATGCATGAACATTACTAAGATGCTGCATGTGTATAGAATAGTGAAGTCGAACCTGCTCACAACTGCATCCATTTCCTCAACAAGATCAACATAAATTTCATTGCTTGCATTCTTTAGGTCAGTTTTTCTCCAAGGAACACAAGATGCTGCTGCATCTGGAAGAGTGCTGCTGACATTGGAACTTTTGCCCGTTACAACGCTTAACATTTTGCTCACAATATTTGGTGGGGCTATCATCTCGCTCAAAATGTTTGGTTCTGTTGTTAGAGGGAAACCATTGTCCATCATTTCATCCAAAAGCTGCAAGTTTGGCCAAATATACCATCATCTTGGTATTTCTTAACAGCCCATGCAGAAGAAACCTAAAAAAACATAGCACCAGAAATTGGCTCCAAAAAACCTTAACAGTGGTAAAATATTACACAGTTTTTGTTTAACATAAGAAGCTAAGAAGAATATGAAAGTTGATGCACCTAAGAAGAACATGGTAAGGAAAGCAGTGAATCTCTGTAATATGACTTGAGGAATAACAACAAGAAAAACAAAGCTGTTATGCCAAAGCTTTTGCAGTTAGCTACATGAATCCTACTCTTCCACTTAATTCTGTTGAGAGCTGTTTCCCCACCAAGGGGCTGTTTGGGTCTTCTCTAAAAAGTATAGGAAACCTATTTCAATACTAAAAATCAATTTCCTACTCTTTCCATCCTTTTCTCAGAAAACATAAATTGTGTTTGTATCACTATAAAGAAGATGAAAGTAATTGGACTTCCATCAATTTCTTAGTTGGTTGCTATGCTACCCAGATACTTCTATCATGAAGTTGTATCCGTACCCGACATGTATCCGACACTTACCTATACCCAAACTTCATGGACACTCCTTGGATATATGCATACATTTGCCTAGACATCCGCTCAAATTATATGACATGTTTTAATTTAAAATACTTATCATACACTTCTTGGACGTATATCCTACGCTTCATGTACATTTCTTGAAACTTGTTAGACGTGGGTCCGGTTATTTTAGCCCATATCCAAGTTAAAAACTATGATTTAAAAGGATGGTTTGAGTTAAAAAACGTGCAGTTTCCAATTTGTAATAATCAACATGATAAAAGAAACTTAAAAATATGATATGAATTTAAATTCAAAGAGCACATGAATTGAAAATTAATAATGGTCTCATGTAAATTATTAATTTCGACATATATGTGTAGTCATGTCCTCATACCCTTCATTTCACAAATTTGCAGTGTCATGCACCCGCATCCGCACCGGTACCCATACCTGTTACCATGCAACTTAAAAATGGGAACCCACTCTGTCTTTTGCAATAAAAATTGCAGTATAAGATGGAAATCAAACCCTCATTCACTTTATTGCAATATAAAATTGTTAAAGTGAAGGTTTCCAACCCATTTCCTACCTAATTGCTAGGAAAAAAGTTTCAAGGAACTGATGATGTTTTGCTTGCTTTGGGGAAATCTCCCTCCCAACATTCTGAGTGAACCAAACACCAAAAAAAAGGTTTCTTACAAACCCTTGTCTAGAATGCCGCTGTCAAGAGGTTTTCATTTCCTGTTCTTTGGTATCCAAATGAACCAAACAGCCCCTAGATTAATCATTGTAATATCATTCTCAATAGTTTCTAACCAAGTTCTCTTCGGCCTACCTCTCTAGTCTTCCTTTCCCCATTAACTACAATCATACCACTTCTTCTAAGGGGTACATTTTATGGCCTCTGTTGCACATGATCAAGCCATTGCAACAAATCTCTCATTTTTTTCATCAACAGGAGCAACTTCTAACTTCCTATAAATGCACTGATTTCTTATCTTAGTGTATATCCTCTTGTCCATCGTAACATTCTCGCTTTGCTTCACTCGTTTTTTGCACATGATTTTTGATTGCCTAACAATCTGATCCATAAGTAATGCACTATAACAGTCCTATAGAATTTCACTTCAGTTTTAGAGGTATTCTTCAATCACATCCAGAAGCATTCATCAACTTTAAGCATCCTGATCTGATTCGACGGACCATGTCATCATCAATCTCATCTGAAGAACAATTGGTCCTAAATAACAAAAATGATCATTGCTGGATAAATATTGGTTGTAATATTTACTACACATTCATTCTCTTTTACACATTTTACTAAAATTGCGGTCTATATATTTTTGTTTCTGTTCTGCTAATTCTAAATCCTTTACATTCAAGTGTTTTCCTATACCTTTCTACCTTAAAAGTCATCTTGTCACTGGTCTCATCAACCAATACTATGTCATCAGCAAAGAACAATACATCATAGCTATGTAGCACGGACACGGATCCGACACGGCCATCCGACACGCCGACACGAGGCAAATCCTAAAAAATACATAGGATACGTGTGTTCGACACGTGTGTCCGACACGGACACGACACGACACGGCTTCATGTTATGCGTGTCCGTGCTTCATAGCATCATAGAACTTTGTCTTGAATATATTTAGTAAGTTCATGCATAGGCAATGCAAAAAGACAAGGTCTTAAAATTGATAATTGATGTAAACCGATGGTAACAGGAAGCAGTTTTGTCTTCCCCTCATTTGTTCTCACCTAAGTTGGTGTTTTATCATGAATATCTCTAATCACATCATATATCTACTAGATACTAATTTTCTAATATGAATAAGAAATTTGCCACAAGTATTAAGAGTTAAATCCTTTACCTATTGTACACAATCATACAAGAGCATCCAGTCAAGTACCAATGCAAAGATTAAGTCTGGCCAAAACCAGTACACAGTAGACATTTATGCATTTCCACTCGGATATATTAGCATACAATCTAATATAAAACACGAAGATGGCAGATATTAGTAATCCAGAGTTCTTACGACATATGAACACATTCCATGTCAAGAACACTACGAAGTCTCTTCTTGACTAGGCATTGTTCTTGTTCAAAAATTGTGACTGCTTTTGAGATGAGATTTTGTGTTAGAAAGGGAGGGGTTGATAAGCTTCCATCACAATTATCTAAATACAACAGAACTATCTAAATATATCATAATACATTCACACTTATACTTTTGATGTAGTCAGTTGCATCTTAACTTGTACTTCAATTATGTTCCAATTTGTCATGATCTATGCTTTTGCAAACTACTTAACTATCTTGATATGCAAATCCTTCCTCCTACTTGTTCAATTTATTGTTCTGCAATGAATGTAAAAGGCATCAACTAGACTTCTAGAAAGAAGATTATACAGTTGAATGTGCAATGTGCACCTTTAGATGAGGTAGTACTAGTAGAATGCATACATCCCAATGTTGGGGGGGGGGGGATATGACATGTAATGCAATGCTCAACATCCACAATAAATAATAAATAATGAATAGGATCATGATTTCAAAATATTAAAAATCTAATATTTTTAATAAAAAAGATAAAACTAATACGAGGTATATTAAGATATTTGTCGGCATTTGAGACAGCACCGCCGTAGAGGATAAAAAAGGGGAGCTGACAGCAGAAGAGAAACCTCAGAGGGAGTGAAGAGGACGGGAGTCGAGGTCTTTGTTAGCCTCAGTCAGTACGGCTGTCAAGGGAAAAGAGAAAGCAAGTCAAAGAGTAGAAGAGAAGCTCAATAGTGGGGGACAAGAGAGAAGAGAGTCAGTGTTCCTTGTCGGCGTCAGTGAAACTGTTGTAGCCCAAGGAGAAGAGGAAGGGATTCATGGTGGCAGAGGAGCTCCAAAGAGGGGAGAAATAAAGGAAAGTTGACATCATAGTCCGTGCCTTCAAAGGGAAAAGAGGAACTGTGTCATCATCGGGGCAGAGGAATTAGAGATTAGGGTTGGCAGACAGAAATTTAAGGCTTAGGAGTCACAAAGGAGTATTGGGTTTGTACACTAAAGCAATAAGCAGGTAATGCAAGTAGCACACGCTATATTTTGAAACAGTGCAAAGCTAAATTGCACGTCTGCTATTTCAATAAAGCGTGGAGGGCATTGTTTTCAACACTGATACATCCTTCACTGTGCAACGAGTTATGCATATCACCATGCAGTTGTACAATCTGATAACATGGTCTGCAAAGCAGTAGGTTATAAATACTTCACAAGGCTAAAATAATGTTGACATCATTGAATCTAGATTAAGCACTTTCACTTCAATAAAGTAACTAATTCAAAATTATTTCAAATATTTATGTGGCTTAGTAAATTACAAAATCATCTGTTCAAGCTAACAAAGGCAAACAACTAAAAGATATGCAATGCATATTTAAACTGTCATAGGCGCATTAGAATGTATATGTCTGGAACAAGAAACTTTACTCAGATACACACACACACACACACACTCACTCGCTCTATTACTGGAAATGTCTGGAATAAGAAACTGTAGTTTAGCATCAGATAAGTTGCACAAAATTACCTCATATACTATAACAAAATTATCCTTTATCAAGTCGTCATTTAACTCTCCAAGATAATCAGCCAGGACATCTGCCACCCTGCAAAGGAACTGCAAGAACAAGAAAACAAAAGCTAAAACAAAACATAGAATGTACAAGAAAAAATATGTTTCATGATTATCTAATTATGTAGAGTTGAATATGTTTACTATTAGTTTATTTGATGCACCACTCAGATTCATTCAAGTGGCAGTGATTAGTGTTATTCATTTGGCCTGCATTATAATATAGCACAAACACTGACTGGTCAAATAGGAGTACACCGATGAAGTATCATCAGTTTATTTGGCCTGCATGCTTTAGTACAACCACTGACACAAACAAACACTGACCTGCTGAACAGAGTAACCAGTTCATGTTGCCATCAGTTTATTTTTTTCATGATTAACATAATTCACACATCAATATTTTTTCTTCGTTAAAATATTTATTAAATGCTGTTAAGTTTTAATGTGACAGGTTACAAAAGATGAGGGCTCTCAGGCCAACTAAAAAATTTGCAGCAGTACCAAAAAGTTTGATTCCATTCACAGATGCAATGGGGTAAGTTTAATTACACTAACAGATATTTTTGCATCACAGGTTGCAGATAGCATGTTTTGGTTATCCCCTCCTCCAGCATGACAAGCTAATTAACAACAATGTTTATAAGTAAAGTTCACTTTCGAGGATCCATATGTTTTACACACGCGCATATGCTCACACAAACATGCACATAGCACAAGCACGCTACAAGCTGACATACAAAAGCTATAGAGCAAGGAACTCAAGGAACATATGACCATCTTAATATGCAGTAATTTGTAACAACGGTATGTCATAAGAGTGACTTGGTGTTAGAATGTTCAGCTCAAAGAAAGAAGTGTTAGAACCAAAGTCAAATTGAAGATCAAAATCTATTTATAAACATTCCATCTGACTAGGACTGCGAGCATAGTGCAGACGTCTGCAGTCAATATAATATGTGCTTTAAAGGATGCATAAGATACTCGAAAAGAAAATAACTGTGTATGTAAGACAGAGTAAAACACAAGTCTGCAAAGCAAATTGCACCAACTACTCTCCACTTTGGGGCTTGCAGCATTGAATACATGTCGTACTTTGTAGATCAATAATGCTTTCTTTTAAGGAACATGACTTAGCACTTATATTGTCCAATAGACCAAGCAGAGATATTGCTTTCAAACGAAAAACGAAAATATCATAACATAGGATCAACAGTTAAGCCGTAAATCTTGAAATTGTTTTACTAGATTTGACGTCATTAGGATCCCTTTCTAGACATAGTTTCATTACAAATAACTCACATGCTATCTAATATAAAAGTTAATCAGATGCCAATGAGAAGACCATGGATATGTTACTAAATAAGTAGTTGTTACAGCTCTTATGCACTAATTGGTGTAAAGAAGAGTCTGTGAACTACAACAACTCCTCACTAAAATCTACACACAATATATTCAAGCCAAAACCATTGAAACAAATAACCAGCAATTCCAACTATAAGAAAAAAAATATAAGAGATCTCACCTCAATTCCCATCAAAGGAGGCATCTCCACCTGCGTGCAAGCCAAGAATGTGATCCCCTCACGGAAAATTTGGAAGAGGTAGTGTGTCGGGGATGCAATTACCGGTAAAATCTACTCAGTTGGCATAAAAAAATACAACAGAGATCACTATGCAACCCTTAGAAAATATTTATCAATCTACTGGAGAGAGTTTACAGCAAGTAGTCCAAATAAAGAGTGGGTTTACTATGTTAGATCAGACAGACAGAGAGAGTGTACAGAACATAGTCTAAATAAAAAGTAGGTTTATTATGTTAGATCAGCAGAATATATATATCCAGAGCTGTTAATTACTAAAAAAGTTCCCAAAAATTGGTTATGAAGTGGCATTACAAAAAGGGTGTCCTTATAAAATGAAATGTACTGAATCATTATTCAACACAAAAAATTCACTCATTTTCAGTAGCAATAAAGGTGTTAGAAACTAATCCAAAAAATTCTTAGATCATATGGCTAGATTATACCAAGATCCTAGGAGATACTTCAACCGCGATGGTGTTGGCATGTTGCTCGATTTTTTTGTATGTAAAGAGTTTCTAATGATAACTCCATAATTCATTTTCATTCTTGATCTCCTCATCTCATTCGAAAGCAATTGGGGATCCAATCCTACTTCTGATGGGATGCCTAAAGATAGTAGCAGAAATTTGTTTCGGACCAGTGTGACCTTCTCTACTTTGCATATAGGGCTGGAAATAAATCGAATAGAATACTAAGGTGGTCATCTTTGCATGCATGCAAAATCTTCAATTTTGAATATGAATTTGAATATCAATCTTTGAATTTCTTCGAATTCAAATACAAATTTATTTTGAATATTCATGAAAATTTTACCAAATATTACTGTATGTTTATTTGATTAGTAATTCATAATTTATGAAACTATATAATAAAAAAGCTATTTTTATTTGATAAAAAAAATTGGTCAAAATATTGCTATAGTCCTTTAAGTTTGTCAAAATAATTATAAACTTAAAATTATAAAATACAAATGGGTGAAAAACATAATTTTTACTTTGAAATTCCAAAAGGGACCAAAGCATTCTTCTCATGTAGTTCCCATTTGTTACTTTTCTATAATGCAAATGTACACTAAGCGGGCGTTTGGTAGCTTGCAACTGGAGTGGTTGCAACTCCAGTTGCATGCAAAGTAGGTCAATTTTATCTGGTTGTAAGCATTTGTTTCGTTGCACCTCACTTTTGCAGGTGTAACTACAGTTGCAAAACACCCCTTAGTTGCAATATATTACTCACGTTCAAAATGGCCACAAGTCACTGTTGCAACCTTACTTGCAACTAACCAAGTTTATAAAATATTATATTTATTAATTAGTATTTAAAAAATCTAAGAAAATCATTAAATATTTAAAACACTTTCTAAAATTTAGTATTATAATATCTTTAAAAAACTTTTTTTCAAAAATAAACTTATTTTGAAATATTTTCCCCTAACAAATTTTTTTCTAAAATATTATTTTTGAAAATGATTTTATAAGCTAATTATTTTTTGAAAAATAATATTATTTTTAAAAATAATTGTATTTTAAAAAAATATTATTTTTTGAAAATATATCAAAAACATTATTTTTCTAAAAAATTACAAAAAATTATATTTTTACGTTATTTTATGAAATAATACTTTTTCACAATACTATTTTTACAAAAATTATTTTAAGGAAATTCTAAAAATCAATTTACTTAAAAATAAAATCCATTGTTTTTAAAAAATAAATATTTTAAATGAATTAATAATTTTGCCAATTTATTATTATCAAAAAATATTTTTTGTCAATTTATCAAAAATAAAAAAAACTAGTTGCATATATGAAGTTACAAGCATAATCAAATAGCTACAACTACAAGTTGTAAAATTTAAAATTTAAGCCAAACAATTACAATCTAGGATACCCCGACACGGCCAGTAAGGGGCCGTACCCGTGTCCGACACGTTTCAAGTACGGATCCACACCCAAACGGCATGGACATGAGAAATTTTGGCTAGCCATGGATTTTTCTTCTTTTCAAGAAAATTAGTCATGGGTTTCTAAGGTTTGAGGCTGAGCAAAGAGATAAAGAAGATGCTCTTTGTTCTCACTCTCCCTATCTTTTCTTAATTTTGTATTACTATAGTGGACATGACATCATGCATCACATGGGATAAGTCTCTCTCTCACTTCTCTCTCACACATCTCACCTCCTTTTCTTAATTTTTTTAATTTGTTTAAGTGGAAGATGACATCATGTGCCACATGGGTAAAGTTGGGGTTGTTTAACCATGATACCTCATTAAATTGTTATTTTTCAATAGGATAGCAGTGGTACCTTTAAAAAAGTTTGATTTGTTTTCTTTTCTTTTTCCCCTTTTAAAGGACATAGTTCAAAGGGGCTTGTTTCATTTGGGAGATTGAGAATGAGTTTGAATACAATGAAAGAACCTAAAAATTAAAAAAAAATGTTGAGTCATGAAAGATAATTGTTATATATATATAACTGGTATTCTCTTAAAAGTCATTGGTCTGCATGAATATCTGCATGAAAATATAGTAGGTATATAATTTAATATTGATCTAAAGTGATTTATTTTATATATACACGGTCGTGTCCCCATACCCTACTTTTTACAAATTTACTATGTCACGTATTCGTACCCGTGTATATGCAACATAGCAATTGTAGTTGCATGCAAGTATCACTTGCATTGTAACTATAGTTGCATGTTACCAAACGCCCCCTAAGCTTCCTCTAAAGCTATTCATATAGTCATTTAGGCATTAAAGCTCTATTCATCTCTCTTTAAGAAGCAACCACCAATCATCCATTCTTTATGGGCCATTGTAACAAAATCTCGTGGTGCAACTCATTATTTGCGTTGTGTAACCTAACATGCCTTAATCATTATATATAACCTTTTGAAATAAATCAAAAAAGCCTTAACTCTATGTTTTTACTATATAACATGAGTTATTTGAACATAACTTGTGTTATTTAAATAATTTATATTATTTCAGAAGAACTTACTATAGATCAAGGTTACAAAAAGCACTAGACGTCGAACCTAACACCTAAAGCCTAAGCGCCTAGGTGGGGGCCTAAGAGTTTTTTTTTGTTATAATAATTGCTAATCAATGTTAATATTATAGAAAGCGCTAGCTGCCACTGGGTATTAGGCTAGTACCTAGACAGGTTTCTTCCTTTGTTTAAATGGCGTTGAAGGAGGTTTTGTGGATCAGAGGAGATGGAAGTGGTGTTCATAGTTAGTGAAGGTCGGAGGTGTTCGAAGGAGGTCGGAGGTGTTCGGAGGAGGCTGGAGGCGTGGAGACTGCAAGTGCAATGGAGGAAATCAGATTAATACCTAAATGATGCAATCCGCATAAGCGGCAGCACATGCTCCCCTAGGCGCTGCCAAGGCATAGATGGGCGGCTTAAGCATTGACTAAGTGATGCAGTCCTTTCTTCACACTTAAGAGTAATAATGTAATTACTTTTGAATTGTTAATTAAGCTTCATTGCTTATTTTGGTGACATCATTATGTGATTGTGAAATTGTGAAATTATGAATGTGAGTGATAAAATGAATGTAAAATTATGAATGAGATGTAATTTTGTAATTATATAATTGAATAATCTATTTTCTTGCAAGTAAAACTATATAGCTTATATTGAATTAAATAAATTAAAATATTTTTCAAAATTTTGATCCAAGTTCTTAAAAATTATTATGAACATCTTTTATATTTTTTAAATTAAACAATAAAAAATACATAAACTATGTTATGCATTGTGCTTTAAGGTATCGAGAGACTTAAGTTATACATTACCGTATTTTTAACATTGCTCAACACTTGATTGTTTTCTTTGATTTTTTTTAAAATTTAAAGTATGCATGCTTTTGGATTGGTTGTTAAGCATTTATACGTATTTCTAATGAGAAATTGTGATGATATATTGACAATTGTGATGTTATTGAATGATTCTATTCATTAAAATCATTGTGAATATTTTTTAAATCAATAATAAAATATGTAACTTACATTATGCGTTAAATAATTTGCGTTCTTTCTTGTGTCTAACCTTAATAGGAGATGGTGCGTTAAGTTGTGTTTTTTGTTTTTTCAACTTTGTTATGAGCCTGCAAATTGTCTCCCAGTCCTAAACCCCTACTTCAAATTCCCAACCACCTTTTCGAGAAAAAAACATCATTTAATATCATCAATCATATCTCTAGCCCAAACAGACTTCGAAAATATGATGTAAAGAAAATAGAAGAAACTCCAACACTAACAAATTCTAATTTCCCTCTACTTGGTAAAGAAGATCCTTTCGAATACAAATCCCTTATCCAATTCATTCTATACTTCTTGTTAATCGCTTACTTTAAGCTTCTAAGGTTCTTAAAGGGATAAAGCAAGTAATATAGAGTAGTTTATGGATGCAATTTCATATATTCTTCAAAGAAAATGATTTGACTTTTATAAAAGTTAATATCTTAAGTCCAGAAGTCAATTCTTAGCAATTCAAAGAAGTTTGGTTGTGGTGGGTTGATTTTGTCTTATATGCAAAAGAGTAAGATAACATCTACAATCTTAAACATAAAAACTTACTTGTTAATCGATAAGGTCCCAAAGCTGGATAAATTCATTGCTGACAGATTCATTCATTTGGCATCTTTGTTCATTGGCTTTGTAGACCCATTAGTTGCAAGAACAAAAGGATGAGGGTCAATCAAGTACTCTGTCTCAATTCCTTTCTAGGGCCAATTTTCTTCTTCCCTCCATTAACTAAAGGACACAACCTGCGATCATTTTTTAATCCAAAGGTCCCATTCCTCTGCAAAACCTATGACTCTTATAACATTCAACAAAAAGTATCTCACTCATATCATAAGAACCTGGATAAAATCCAGTTTAAGAGACCACCGATATGTTTTCTTTTTAAACAACTAGATATTACCTTTTGAGCTTCTGTCAAACTATCAAAAGTATATTTGTCCTTCATAAGGATAGACTAAGAGTTGATCATCTTGTAAAGCTTAGGATTGAACCTATTAGCAAGGACCTTGATGATCGCCTCGTTAACTACAGTCTACAGTCAGCACAAGCATATCTCGGCACATTTCACCCCTACACACATATACACAAATATAGATATAGGGGGTCTTGCATCTCCATGTTTATATATCCTAGGTTATCCTCCTTTTAAAGGAACGTAGAGAAAACCTTGTCATTTTTCATAAGCTTTTGCATTTGTCTTTTTTCTATCTATTTTCTTTGAGTCACTCTCTGTGCTTTGAATGACAGAAGAAACCTATTTATAGATAAGGCAGAGAGGGAGATGCATCCATGTGCTCATATTGACATTGATGCAAAAGCAAGGAGGAAGTCATATGCCCACATCATAATGACATTGGTGAGAAAGTTAGCATAATTCACTTATCAAAATTGCTTATTGTACCTACCCCACAGTCACATTACTGACTTATCACTCCTGTCTTTTACACCACACGTGCCTATTACACCTATGTTTCATATAGTCATAGAAATAACTTATGCCTTTCATAAATTTATTAAGATGAAGGGGCATGCATATTTAAGTTGGTTATCTAGGCATTAAAGATTATGAAGAGATATGTATCTTAATATTTTAATTATAGCCAAGGTTGAACTCTAACATAAAAGATATAATACATCTAACATCAACACATACGATGAGGTTGTATATCCTCTCACCTTTTCTAAAGCAAATGTGAATGACAATGCCTCGCAGTAGAAGAGGCATGTGTTTGTGTTATATTAATAAGTACGGTTGGTCCATAGGTCCTCAAGTTGTGTTTCAAGTTGATTTATGAAGGGCAGATATTCGTAAGTTGAATTTTACTGTTGAAGCTTCTTGAGCAAGTGACAATATCATACATTAAAGTTGATGTTCAATAGGAGAGTAATGGATCTTCATGTTAGATTAATAGAGAGGGTCTATATGCCCTCAGGTTGAGTTTCAAGTTGATTATTATTAGGTGAAAATATTCCAATTTAAGTATTATTGTCAAAGGACCTTTGCCTACATTTACGACTGTTTGATATAACTTACATGAAGTGTAAACAAATTTGATATCTACATATTGCCCCTCACAATCATATTATTTTCGTCACAGCAAGCTTGAACCTCAGAGTGGACAAATGGGCATCTAGTCTACTATCAATCCAATGTTAAACTCTGTGTCTATTGCATAGTGCCTGATAAGCTTAATGCAAATTCAAAGTCGATGCCTGAGCATTAATGCTTATCCACACAGTTCAGTTTTGTTTTTGTTTTTGTTTTTTTCCCGTCACAGCAAGCTTGAACCTCAGAGTGGACAAATGGGCATCTAGATTATTATCAATCAAATGTTAAACTCTGTGTCTATTGCATAGTGCCTGATAAGCTTAATGCAAATTCAAAGTCGATCACTGAGCATTAATGCTTATCCACGCAGTTTTTTTGTGTGTGTGTGGAGAAACCAATGTCCTCAATCTCCCAATGTGTTTGAATTTTCTACTATACTGTTAGAAATAATAGTTCAGAATTTCCAAACATTAAATCAACAAATAATTCACAAAGATAATACATTAAATCAATAAAGAATTCACAAATATAATATATTCTTCTCAGTTATTATACTTTATCTTTCTATTAGCTAACATTTTTAAACTATTTTGCTAAACCTTCTCAGTATTTCTTACCATTAAATCAATAAAGAATTCACAACAATAATACACCATTCTCAGTTATTATACTTATCTTTCTAATAGCTAACATTTTTAAACTACTTTTCTTTAAAAAATTAAGAGAAGTAGATGAAAATGATACTTTTGCGGTTGGCAGCGATTTCTTGAAAGGTGGTGATTTTGGCAGTGAAGCAAGAGTAGATGAATGATCAGTGCAGTTTTAGCATTATTGTCTTAATAAGCAAAATTGAGACCAAACCGAAATGAAAATTTAAATGCATTACCACTTTAAATTTCATCACATCAATGATACAATTAGAAACAAACAAAACACACAATCTTAACCCCTTAATCTAACCTAAACTAACAGTTAACCCTAAACTAACTCCTAACTCCAATTCCAACCAAGTAGTAATGTTAACCTAACTAAAACCATGCATTGCAACCCATTGATCAAAAGAAACTCTTCAAATCCTTCCTAACTGATCAGTCACTCAATCACGAAAACTAGGATCCACATTCCTAGGAACATAATTATGAAGGTTAAGCAAGAAGCGATGGCAATCACAAATGTTCTGGTAGGGGTGGTCGTATGGAGGATGACGATAAGAGCCAATCCAAGTAGAAAGGAAATCACATCAATTGTCAGAACCTTAGGAATGGGCTTGGCATAGGACATTGTACCAAGGATGATAAGCAATTAAATGCCAAAATGCGCAGAAGTATACAAAAAGGGATTGCTTGAACTTATTGCTAGGATGGTCTTCATTCAGAACTACGGCTCCCACATCTAGTTCAATTCCCCCTGCCAGAAGAGGGGCTTCCTGGTCAGGTGCCTTTAGTATCAACCAATGCTTAAAAAGCTCTCGTCTAGTTCGCCTAGGTCTTGAAAGCGCCTAGGGGAACAGAGATCCTCACGCGGATTACATCGGTAGGCCTTGGTCGTAATATCCTTTGTTGTTGCCTCCATGTCCTCTGACCTCCTTCAAACTCCTCCAGCCTCCTACTACGAACACATTCTCAACTCCTTCGACCTTCAACAAAACCTCATCTACCACCACTTAAACAAAAAAGAAAATCATCTTACACCTGTTTAGAGCCTAGGCTCTGGGCGCCACTTTGGCACCTAGCAGTGCCTAGCACTTTCAATAACATTGGTTGTAATTAAAAAATAAAAATATATAAAAACACCTAGACTCAACGTAAGCTCTAGGTGCTAAGTTTGACGCTTAGCCCGCCTAACACTTTTTGTAACCTTGCTATCAACTCCTCCATCTCATTTTTCAACTTCTCAATTTTATCAAAGATAAGTCCTTTGATCATCTTACATAACCCTCGAAAGCTTGAAAATCTTTGCAACTATCTATAGCAAATGCAATCAGAAAGCCCCTTTAGCGGTGGAAATTCAAAAATCAAGATCCCCCAAATTAATTGAATTGTACTATCAAACTTTTCCATGGCACTTTTTCAAACATCTTTTTCTAAGCAAGCAAAGGAAGACCCTTGATTCTTACACATTGCTGAAAACCGACTGAGATGGCACAAACACCATATTCTTTGGACCAAGGTTAGAACAATAACACAAAGGGTTTACACTAAATATACCCTATTACATGCATTGAGTACGGAGTTTTGATCTAGAAACCTTACCGGGAATGATTCATCCTCCAATCTTTTAATATGAGTGTCACAAGGAAGCGTGAAGATGAAGGGAAGCTAACGAAGAATACAATTAAAGGCTATGATACTACCGTTATTTCCAAGATCCCACAAGCACCTCACTAACTTCATCTCATCGATCAACTCCATCCCCAAAAAAAATGGGATCACAAGGGTAATTAAATAGTCTGTGGGTTTCTTGGAAGTGAAAAAAAAGAAATTCCTCATCATAGTCTTGTGGATAATTCTATTATTTAACCAATCTGATATTAATTTGATTAAGTGGTTAAAATAATCTAACCACATCATTGTATGAATGGTTGAATGAAGAGGTCATGTTATATTTATACTAACTTCATAACATCCATCGTTTAGTATCTGTATACACTAAATGTGTGGGTCCAAATATTGTGTGTTTTTTGTTTGGTGATTAATCTTTATGAAAATTTAAGGCGTTGATAATAGTTCTCATGAGATCTATTGGGGTTTAATTTATATAGTTTGTGTTGTGGCCTATACATTATACAAGAAGGTTTTTTTCTCTATCACAAGACTTTGCTAAGTAAAATCCCTTTTACGGTTGGCCTTCTTGACATGTTAAAATTAGGAATAGACGACCATGCTCCCAAGTATTTTTGCAAGAATTTCAACAAACGAGTATATTCCCACCGGATTTGAATAAATCAGCCACTTTGTGCAAATCTAAAGTTGTCAGTGGCTTATTGAGCTCAAGCGATTATATGGGCAAGTGAGAACTAGACTTAAAAGATCAATTTATAAATAGGAAAACAGAAAGCTCACCTTATTAGTCATAATATTGATAAAACAAAAGACAAAATTAAACTTCCCCAGTTGAAGAAAACTGAAAGGTTATATAATACTACTAAATGGATGACGCTCCAAAGATCATTGTTGTGGATTGATATCATGTTTACTTATTCTTGGCTCTTTGGGAGAGTGATTTAGTTTGTGAACAGTCTTCAAGCGTCGGTATAATGTTCTGTAAAAGAATTTAAAGCAAGTGCCCTCTAGAGTCCTGGTCCTTGCGCTCAAATAAGGGGGGGGGGGGGCGGGGGCGGCGTGAAGCTCACTTTCCACGGCAAAAATAGAAGAAACCGATCAGCCTATACTACATCAAGATCATTCTACTGTTGTATCTGCGAAATGGAGCAGCTCAATTACATGAAATCACACAAAAAAAATCAACACGCACAACCCTAAATACCCACTCAATTGCCACCAAATTAGTGACTAGAATAAACAAAACGCAGTAAACAAAAACCCTAAAAATTACAGTTTTCAGTACTCATCTTCAGAAACCAACAAAATTTTAGTTACCTTGGATGAATCCCCGCCCTGAGAGATAACATAATCCCAGAACCAATCGCAAATGGATCTATCAACCCTGTGCCCTGTCATCTGCTTCTCTAACATCACCTCCCTGTTGGCGCAAAAAAAATAAAAAGACAAAAAAAATAAAAATCAATCAAGAATTCTTTCAGAAAGTCAAAAAAGAAAAACTAGGGTTTAAGAGCAAAGAATACCCAGAATCAGATAGAAGGAAGATACACTGCAGCATCTCTTTCTTTTGCGCGCGCCAACGTCTCCGCTTCGTCGAGCTCCCGATGGGTTCGATAGAAGAAATTTAGATCTGGAGAAAAAAAAAACCTCTGTTTGCCAATTTTACATTTTAAGCCTCCAGCATTGGTACCATGTTCATATTAATGCCGAATGTTGATAATTTCATTTTAGTCCTTTAAATAGCTGCACATTGCTTGACTAATCAGAGGATTAGATATTAATTTCATTTTTAGCCCTAGAAAATCAGTTAGGCCTTACTTGATAATAGAAGGAAAGGACAAGCATTCAACCAAGCATTTCTAAGGGGGACAAATTTTCAAAACCATCACTTTTTAAAATTTATTTATAAAAAACAACCCATTTCAATCTTAATTTCAAAAACCGACCCAGTTGGTTGAAACTGGGTCGGTTTTTGAAAAAAAAATTTCAAACTTCACGGGAGTTGAACTCCCGTGAAGTTTTGTTATGAGAAAAAACTTCACGGGAGTTCAACTCCCGTGAAGTTTGAAATTTTTTTTTTCAAAAACAGACCTAGTTTCATCCAACTGGGTTTGTTTTTGTAATTAAAGTTGAAAATGGTCTTTTTTTGAGAATAAATTTCAAAACCGGATGGTTTTGAAAATTTGTCCTTTCTAAGGGCTTGTTTGGCAAATCATGTCCAACTAGTTTAGCCAGTAAAAAATGGTTCAGTACTATATCTGATTGGCAAAAAAAATGGATCGGTATTTAAATTGATTTTGCTTGGCTTTTTTGCCATAAATTGGTTTAGTTTTGCACCTCTTCCTGATCCAAAAGTAAACTGGTTTAGGCCAAAAACGGCTTAGAGGGAGAGTTACCCTTAAGATTCTCTTCAAAGAAAATTGATATTGTTATTCTACTCTTAGAAGTTGACTCTTCTCTTTTTTTATCATTAATCGAACCCTGTTTTCGTTAAAAGTTGATGTTTTCATTGTCATTAAACTTGTTACACCGTTTATGGATTACAAGTTCAAATTGAAAGAAAAGTTGATCTTTTTATAAGATCTTCTTACACAATGAAAAGGTAAAAATTACAACTTTATCAAACAATACGCAACAGTAGTTTATCTCCTGCTGCTTGCGTGGGACTTTCGCCTGTGCCGGGGACGCGTTAGTCCGTGGACCGCCGCGGATCTGATCCGGTTGACAAGAGTTAATTGATGCTCTTGTTTCACGAATGAAACAATTGCAGAAGCGACAATCATGACCAAGCGAGATTGTGGCTCTTCTCGAGATCAAAACCAAGTTTGATCCGGAGGAAAAAAGGGAAAAAGAGTCTCAGATCTTTCGAAGGCTTCCTCTTTATGATGAAATTCGCCAAGATCTGCCAACTCTCCTCTGAAATCTGTGGTCTACTATTCAAATTAACAGCACCTCGCCCTCTGATTTCAGATCCTCTCAAATGAAGACTCTGGGCTTCTATTTATAGGCTTTTGTCGTCGTGTTTTCTGATAAGATCTCATGATTTGACGTCATCTGCAGTTAATAACCGCTCAACCGCACTTAAGGATAGCTTCAGAACAGTTTGGGAGGTCCTGGAACGAAAGAATCCTTAAAAAATATCAAAACACGCGTTTTGGGAAGTTTTGGGAGTGGATCATCATTTGGTGGCTCGGAGCTATGCGAGCCACCAAATGGTGGCCTGATGATTTGACGTCATCTGCAGTTAATAACCGCTCAACCGCACTTAAGGATAGCTTCAGAACAGTTTGGGAGGTCCTGGAACGAAAGAATCCTTAAAAAATATCAAAACACGCGTTTTGGGAAGTTTTGGGAGTGGATCATCATTTGGTGGCTCGGAGCTATGCGAGCCACCAAATGGTGGCCTGGCTTGGTTTGAACTTGTTTTGCTGTGACGCGTGTTTTGTTGCTTCGTTGACTTGTGCGTTTCAGCTATTCGCTTGTTTCGTTAGCTTGTAGGCGGTTGTCAAACACACAGGCCACTCGAAGCTGGCTGATGATCGTGCGGGCTTGTTGTCATGTCCTCAACGCTTAGCCACTTCGTTGTTTTGGGTTCGTCGCCATGTCGTCTTGAACTACGTTCGGGACCTATAGGCAGTTTTTGACGCCTACAAACCCTTATATCAAACATACTCCTAATAAATTACCACAAACTACTGCTCTCTTTATTTCCTCAACTATTTTCTTATGAAACATTTGATAGAACTTGATGAATAATGGCAAAATTGTTCTAATTTTGGTGTCATATCATCATACTTAATCAAACATCTTCAATTGATCTGGATCTTCTTTTTTTAATTTCAACTACAATGGTTCATTTTTTGTTCATACCATTTTCAATAAAATACAAATTGTAACTTTTAAATGCCAATTATTTGAAAATTCGAGATGGGGCACAAAAAATTTAAAATTACGGGAGGCAAACGTAATTGTAAAAAGATTACATGTAATTTCTAGATTGTTAGGGGTGCAACGCACGTGTTAACCACGTGCATTCACCATTGCTTATATTTGCATTTTTCTTCAAAGTGAATCTGAAATTTTTTTGGATGAATAGAGTGGAAATGAATCAAATAATTAACAAATAGTACTTTGGTTGTTTGAATAACTATTCGGTTATATTCAATTAGGTAGTTCATTTAATACTAAATAAATAATTTCTAGTATTCAAATTCCTTAATGAACTAGTCGTGAACACCGTGCAAAGCACGGCATATCATTTTCCCCGCTACAGTAATCCTAATTTTTAAAATGATGCAGTAATATTTTTTAGATTTTTAAATTGTTACAGTTTGCCTCTTCTACAGTTTTTTTAAAAAGCTACAATATTCCTATGCGCTACAGTGTTTTAAAAAAAATTCTACGGTGACCAGTTACCTGTTTGCTACGATAATAATGCTACAGTAAATGCTAATGTAGCATTTACTATAGCATGAATAGTAAATCTTGGGTTCTCCCATTTGTATAGAGGAGTAGATGAATAGAATTTAACTAGATGTATATTCGATTTATATGCTTATTAAATATTCGATTTAAATTTGATCGCTTATTATTTCTATAATTACACACGCGATGTTATATTTTCAATCCACTTACCGTTTTTTACCTAAGTTCCATATACTAATTCTAAGAGACTTAAATAATGTTTAATCAGTTCCTAATGATATATTCAAATTAAATATATATACATCACAATAATAAATGAATAATTTTTATTTATAAATTTAAATCAAATTCTTTAGTGGAATTAATAAACTTTGATATTCGATAAATATTCATGAATAATTAGCTATTGAGCATTTTAGTTCAAATTTGAATTTGAAAAACTCCAGATATGAATATTTCGGATTTGTGTATGAATTTGATAACTTTAAACAAATACAAATACAAACACTTTAGTATTCGATTCGATTCAATCGTTAACCATCAATTGGATTAAATACTTCCAATCTAAAAATACTAACAACAATTGTGAACCCACGTGAAAAGATTACGTTCTCAAAGCGCGTGGGTTGCTAAGAGATAGCAGAGCGAGTGAAAGGTTGACGTGACTCATGGAGGCCACCACGTGAAGAGAGCCATGAATTCATCAGGAGTTCGTGAAGAGCCGCACTTTACAACTTTATCAAACAAACGCAGGGAGATCGTTTATCGGTCTTCTGCTTGCGTGGGTTCTTTGTCGGTGCCGGGGTTAATCCGTGGACGACCGCGAATCAGATCCGGTTGTAGGAAAATTCGGCAGAGCTTCGCCTTCGCCGAGGAAGTTTTCTGGTTTGAAGCACTGAGATCGACCAAGTGAAATCAGGGCTCTTCTCGAGATTAAGACCAAGCCTAATCTCAAGGGACGGACGGACGGGGTTCAGATCCTTGGAATAACTCCTTCTTTATGTCGAAGTTCGCCAGGATCTGATTTGCCTTCGCTGAAATTCGTGCTCCTTGACTCCTCAATCCAGCAGCACCTCCACGTCTTGATAATAATTCGTCCCCGAGAAATAAGCACCCGAGCTCGTATTTATAAGCTTCGGAAGCGGTTATTTAGGATAAGAATGAATGATCCCTTCTTATCTTCAGTTAATAACTGATTAACAACGTTTGGGGATAATATCAGATCAGTTGGGATGCTTAGGAACCAACAAATCCTGAGAAAACCCGTCAAAAACGCGGGTCGGCCAAGGCCGACCCGCCCAGCCGCGGGTCGGCCAAAGCCGACCCGCGCTGGTGCGGGTCGGTTTCGGCCGTCCCGCATCGGCGCGAGTTCCGAAACCTGACGCTTTCTTTTGGTTTTTCGACTCTTTCGGGACTTGTATTTTCCATCGTTTTGCGTGTTTGACTGTCTTGTTGACTTGCACACTTCGTTGTGGAATTGACTGTCGAACGTGCGTTGGTTGATATACGCGCATGTTGATTGATGCACGCGTGTTGACCGGCACACACAAACTGATTGACGCGCGAACTGATTGACATGCACGCGTTGAATGATGCGCGCGTGTTGATTGACGCTCGCGAACTGATTGACGCGCATGTGTTGATTGATGCGCGCACGCTACTTGGTTCGTCGTTTCGCTTCATGCGCTTGTCGATCTCTCTATCTCGAGCTGTGTGCGGACACCCATAGGCATTTTTAGACGCCTACAGATACCCCCTCCAAAGTATTTCAGACTCATTCTTTTATAGAGGAGTCTGGAATGCTTTGGATAAGATAGGCCATCTCCGCAACTTCGTAGAGTGACCTTTAACTACCTCAATTCTTGACTTCTTCAGCCTTTAATCTATTCATTGTTTCGTCGAATAGATGAAGTTCTTCCGGCGCTGCATTTATCGTCTGACCGTTGTTGAAATTTTGAACTGAGATTGGTGTGTAAGTTTCCGAACTTAGCTCGTGTCATTGAGTTGACTTTGAACTGATCATCTTCGTCAGAAATTCATATTTGATCCCGATTGAACTCCCTGAAATCATCGTTTGCCTTATTTTGACGAGATTGCTGATGCGTTGACCGGCATCGATCTTTGTTGTAACGCGTTGATCGGCGTTAACATAGTTTATACTCGTACGTTTGCTGGAGTCTACACATTTTAAGCTCTTAAGGCATTAGAGCGTGGCGGTCCCAAATATTGGGCTGCAGGAC